TACCAGCTAGTTGATGGAAATCCTCCAAGACCACACTAAGCCCATCTTTCAGTTTCTTCACCATTCCCTCAAAGTCATCCCCTTTGTAAAAAAGTAGCTTCTGGTTGTAGTAAAAACATAGGTAGGGAAGATCAAACGTGACCAGTTGATACTCCTTCTTCCCAATTTTCTTGTTAGGCTTCACATGGCTTATACCAGTGATTTTTAGATTCAGACATTCTTCATTCTTCATCGCCCCTGCTGCCATTATTGAAGAAAATATTGAGAGAAAAACAACCTTAAAGAAAGGGTTCGAAGAAACAAATGTCAAAGAAAAACTGAGTGGGTTTGATGTGGGATTTGAGTTGAGATGATATTTATAGACAATTGCATGAATAAAAAAATTATATAACTAATATAGAGAAATGTTATATTTACAAATTTTTTGTTTACGAGCTACACTATGTCTATGTCTTATAAATTACACTATGTCTTACTGGTAAGACTTAACTCAAGAATGTCGAAAAAAAAAATTGTCAATATAACCCTCTTTCACTAATAAAACCACACTAGTTCAACAGAATATCAAAGAATTTTTTTTTTAAAACAACGACAGCAGAATTCAAACTTTGATTATTCAAATTCCTATGAACCCCGGTGGTTATTCAAATCACTAAATGAGTGCTAGTGGTTTATCAATAATAATTTTTAAACCATGAACCCAGGAGCTTGGAACGACAACTGAGGGATACACATTGGTAGATATATACAAAATCATTAAATAATCTCACTTAATAGTTTAAGTTTTTGGGTTAAATTAATTCTTTACATGGCATCAGAGACTCGATGTTCTAGGTTCGATCCTAGCAGCTCTCCATTTTTCTTGTGAAATTTCATAGCACAGATAATAGGCTGAACCTGATGCGTGTTAGAGATATATAAAATCATTAATGTAGTCGTACCCAACACTTTAAGCTCTTGGGATGAATTAGTTCTTTACACACACAAATATAAATTATTTGAATTAAGCCTAAAACGACGTCATTTTAGAGTGAATGTAGATAATTTATCTGCATCCCCTATATAAATATTAAAGAATATATATATATAGGGAAAAGTATTTCTCCAGTCACCGGAGATAAAGTCAGTGAGCTCAAAATGACGTCGTTTTGAGTTATAAAATTAAAAAATTATAATGATAAAGACTAATATAACCCAGCAATATATTATAATTACAAAAATACCTTGATTTCCATCCCAAAACGACGTCGTTTTTGGCTCACCGGAGATAACTTATCTTCATTGACTGGAGAAATCAATTACCCATATATATATATATATATATATATATATATATATATATATATATATATATGGTTTATTTTTTTCTACGGCCAATGTAAATAACTTATCTACATTGAGCCCAAAATAACGTCATTTTGATGCAAAAATCAAGGTATTTTTGTAATTATAATTTATTTCAGGTTATAATAGTCTTTTTCATTAAAAAATTTTAATTTTTCAACCCAAAACGATATCGTTTTGGAGGCGAACGTAGATAATTTTTCTACATTCAATGGAGAAATATTAAAGCAATATATATATATATATATATATATATATACAGAGAGGCAGGATCCTTTGACACCAGTGTCAAATTTGAAGTTTGACACCTCATCTAAGAGTCGTTGGATCAAAAATGATTAACGACTCTGATTTGTAAGCATGTGACACCATTGATATTTTTTTATCTAATGACTCTCAGATGAGGTGTCACATTTCAAATTTGACACTGGTGTCAAAGGATCCTACCTCATATATATATATATATATATATATATATATATATATATATAAGGTTTTACTTTTCTCCAGCCGTTTGACGTGCAACAAATAAATTCGAGAAATAATAACCATATAAAAGTTGGTGAAAGCATTAAATGCGAAAAATCATAATTATTCATCGGTGTAAGATCTATTGCTAGATGTCCAGCAACCAAAAAATTGATTTTACCATATATATATATGAGGAATGTTATACTTACAACATTTTTTTTACAACCTCTTACAACCATATATCATAACCGTTGATTTCTGCCAATCAACGGTTGTCATTTATTATGAATTAATAATTAATTAAATAGTTTAATTTGCGTAAACATAACCGTTGATTGGCGGAAATCAATGGTTATGATATATGGTTGTAAGAGGTTGTAAAAAAAAAGGTTGTAACTATAACCTCTCCCTATATATATATAAGAAAAATATTTCTCAAATCACTTGAGATATATTTATATCCGGTCACCTCAAAACTATGTTATTTGGTTTATTTATTTTTTGATATTAATTGATTCACTTTGGAATGATTATGATTCTCTTTTTTAATGGCCGGAGATAAAATTATTTCAAAATGACTTGAGAAACGGTAAGCCCTTTATATATATATATATATGGGGTTTCCATTTCTGCAGCTGTTGTACGTGCAGCAGTCAAATACTTACCATATATATACTTGAAAGCATTAAATGCGTGGAATCATAACCATACAAAGGATGAAAGTATTAAATGTGGGGAATCATAGCCATACACATGTCGTTGCTGTACGTAAAGCGGTTGCAGAAATGATTTTACACACACACACACACACACATATATATATATATATATGGACTTATCATTTCTCAAGCTGCTTGAGATAATTTTATCTTCAGGTACTAAATTATAACCGTACAAAGATGGATCAATAGATATAAGGAAATAAATAAACAAAACGACATAGTTTTGGGGTGGCCGGAGATACACTTATCTCAAGTTGTCAGAGAAATATTTTTTCATATATATAAATATATATATATATATATATATATATATATATGTATATAAAGGGCATATTGTTTTTCAAATCACTTGAGATAACCTTATTTTCGGTCATCCCAAAACTACGTCGTTTTGAGTGTTAGGAAAATTAATGAATGTTGTTTTGGTAAAATTCATATAATATATAAACAAATAAAATTTTTATCAACCTTTATTAATTCTCCTAACACCTAAAACACCCTTTATTAATTCTCCTAACATCCAGAACGACGTAGTTTATAGGATTATCTCAAATCACTTGAAAAATATTTTTCTCATATATATATATATATATATATATATATATATATATATATATATATGACTTTTAAAGAATAAAAATACAAAGTTTATTTTTTAATATTTGTTTACAGTTATTATTATTTTTTATAATGTTTTTATAAAAATTTAACCGATAACATACCGTCATTTAGACTATTATATCATTTAAGATAATAATTTTGATATAAATACTAAGTCGTTTAGCATTAACCGTTACATAAATAGTATTCAAAAGTCAAGTTTTATGAATATATCAAAACGGAGAAAAGAAAGAAAGAAAATAAAATATTAGAGAAAGAGATGTTTGATTTTTTAAAGAGAGTTGGCTTAATTGGCAGCACGAGTCCCGTGAACGAATTAATGGTAAAAAGAATAGTGGTTCCAATCCCGAAATATTTTTTGGAAGTATCACGTAATTTGACTTACCCCTTTTCGCGGTGTGATTATGGAAATACACAAGGGAACTGACTTGGCCCAAGGTTACGGAATGAAAAAATAATAAAAATCAATGGCACCATCATTGACTATATAACATTAAAGCAAATCTAAATAGGATTAATATGTTTACGTGGGAGTGAATTTTCTCGTATTAAAAAAAATATAACGTGGTCATATGCAATGGGGGAGTCAATAAATGATTTTAACTGCTATCAAAAAATTTAGTCAAGCAGAATTCAGTCAATGTCAAGGTTGTATAATTTTTGAAAACTCAACTAGTGTCAAGGCTATGACATAATATTTAAAGAAAATATGTACTATTTTTGGAGACCAACTGGTACCAAGACCCCAATTGGTTTCCAAGTGGCTTTGTATCTAAAAAATCATAATCATATAAAGATGAATTAATAGTGATAAAAAAATAGAGAGAAAAAAATATTCAAATAGATAATTCTAAAATTATAATCGTTAATTAACTTTTATATGATTGTAATTTTTTCATATGTCATATTTTTTAACCTAAGAGAATCTATTTCTGTTTGTTGAAAATTGACACAAATCGCAAAACGAAAAGAGAAAGATAGAGAATTGACATATTGATTTACTTTGTTTCACCTAATTTAGGCTACGTCCAAACTTATCTGTACTATATTCACCTCACCGCCACTCATTACAAGTTACTCGATTTACAAAGAAAATATAAATAGAATTAAAAAAACGTTACAAGCTACTCGATTTACAAGAAAAATATAAATAGAATTAAAAAAAATCCTAATAGCAAATTACCTTTACGCTGACCACAAAACCAAATGCTCAAAATACAAAATATAAGCGATACCCAACACCGTTTATCTCACTGTCGCTACACATGCACGAATAAAAATAAATGTAAAGAGATGTCAATACATACCCAAGTGTGGTGGCTCAGTTGGTAGCATGGGGACCGAGTGGTGGGAGAGGACCTCGGTTCGAATCCCACCAACACCATCTGGGGAGCGGCATAAGTACCGTAATCTTTGGACTCGCACCCGAACTCTGATTAGTCCCATAGGCGGCTCAAAGAGTCGAACCCATGAGAATACCAGAAAATTCTGATTCGCCTCAAAAAGATAATTAGGATCAGTTAAAAAAAAAAAAATGTGAATACACAACCTGATAGCTTTTTCTTTGCTTTCCGATTATCAAAACTGGTGTTAGTTGAGGGTCTAGCGTATGTATTTTGCTGGCAAAATTTCGATTCATTGGGGATGCAAATTTTGCGTGTCTGAGAATGCGTGCAATCAAATGTTTCCCCCGTAATTTATATTAAAAGAAAGCGTTTATAATTTTAGGGTTAGGAACTAGTACATAGATTTTAAATCAATATTAATTTTACACGATCAATGAATGAAACTAAATGTAAACAATTTATTGGTTGACCATTAGTGTGAAATGTTGGTAGTGGATCAACCCGAATTAGTGATCTGGTTCAGCACAAGATCTCTAGCCCTATTAAGAGTCATGAAACACAAATACAAATGCTCTTCTAACTCGTCCAATTTGTCACTAAAACTGCATTGGCTCTTCTTTAATAGGCGCGCCACTTCTCCATCGGCTTGAACTCTATCCTCTTTTCTCTCAAGCCAAAACTTCACTGATGTCTTCATGTGTTCCAGCTCATCATTCAGTCGAGCTACAAGCCGGCTTGTTATCTCCAAATCCTTGTTCAATATATATGTTCCTTTTGCGGCAGCATCAAGCTGAGCCGTCACATTAGCCAGCTTCCTTTCCGAAGCCATGTTCATTGAAGCCAGTCCTGGCATAGCCACAAGCAACGCAAACCCATGTGCCACAACAATCACAACAACAAGTGAAGCCGTAATTGTCACAAGGAGACAAGCCGAGCCACGTTTTAACCTAGCAATGGATTGAAGCTTGGCTCGCGCCTTGTCACGGCTTGACTCGAGCCGCTTTTGTAATTCGGAGCATTGGCATTGGATGGCCCGAGCCCAACAAGGAGATGGGCTGGATACGGCAAATGGGTTTAAAGAATTGGAAAATTCAGTTAAATGGGTCATTAACATTGAAGAAGGAATTTGATTGGTTGCAACACATTGAAAGATAGTCTTGAGCGATTGATACTTGGCACGTACACGATGAATGTCCTTTAATAGATGGCTGCAAAGTAAAGAAGCATTAGCGGTATGGGCAAAATAGTCCAATAGGAGAGAATGGATCACGGGTCGGAGTCGGGCTTTGGATAAGATCCGAGTAACAGTGGGCTGGTTCGGATCCAAGAGGTGCTCCGCAAACAAACGGTAAGATGGAAGCCGAGCTGATGTGGCGGAATCTCTTGACAAACAAGAAGAGGAATCGGGATTGGAATAGGAAAGGACACGTGTCCAAAACTCTATGTATGACTCCGTACGGAAAGCATTAGCATATTCCTCACGCACGTCCACACAGTTTTCATGATTTCGAGAGCTGCTGCTACACACTGTTACATTACATGTCATTGCAATTGATACATTACCAATATATATATATCATAAATTCAAGTGGGTGGTTGGTTGCTTGTTCATACAATGATTATTCTTAGCAAATCTTTAATTAGCTACGAAGGTATATTGGCAAGAACATTATGCTCATTTTTAAGGAAGGGTGGATCTTCTCGTATGTAAATTTTACATGATTAAGGTATGTGTAAATTTTGTGTTTAGCATTCTCGTTAATTATAAGTATTAAATAGATAGAGTTCAATTAATATTAATGAATATCTATAGAAAGAGATAATCTGTGTGAAATTTTCACATAAAATGATCAATTCCATTATCAGGGTTTTGGGTATCAGATATTAAGGGTTGAAACAATTAATAATTAGTATACTTCAAGTTAATGATTACCTAATTGTAGTGGCAATTTTGAGTGCCATACATTAACGGATTAACCACTTTTTCTGGTGAAACGAATGTAAATTGTTTTCACTTCTTTTAATTGGATTTCCCAGGTAAAACGTAAGTACATATACTTCAGCTTTCTATCTTTATATCAAGGTTTTCAAACTCCTTATAATTTTCACAATGGCTTTTTGTTTACTAAGTAATATTGTGATTCTTAATCATTTCATCTTTTTGATACTGATAAAATTAAACCTGTATAAATAACTGAATATTACAGATAAAGAAAAGAAGAACAAGATTACCAGAACAAGAAAACAACTTTTTGATCCGCCGAACCAATTTGTTCCTCATTGCTGTTTTTAATTATATCCTAAAATAGAAAGTGAAAATCAAGTATGCATGCAAGAGAAAATCCGAAGATATGTAAATTAAGAACTATGGTAATTGTCAAAAGGAGCAGAGAAAGGAGGACGAGAGACGGAATAAAACGAGTTTTTCAATTGAAATTTAATTAGATGCAAACCTTTCTGAGAACCTTCGCTTTATCGCTTGAAATCTTTTCTCAATAAAGGAACTCAAGAAGATGGTTAAGCATGTACTGTTCTTTTTGTGAAAGGGAAATTTTCGATCTTTAATAATGCCTACCCATATTTTTGCTCTTGCTTGCAAGAAAGACTAGTGAAAATAATGCAATCTTGTGACATCTTGTAGTGTACGCGAAGGGTAGTGATTTTGGTTTGGCGTGTTAGAGGGAAGTTCTAGAATTATCTTTCAGTGATAATCTCAAAGCAATATGTGACTTTCAAGGCAAAAGCAAAGAAACAAAACAATTGGCAAAAAAAGAGGACAAAAATAACGGAAGAAAAACGAGGTATCAAAACTAGCACCTTATATTGTAGGTTGTTCTAACCTTTGTCTATGGTTACAAAGATATGCTGATATGCAAAAATAGCTGCACAACAAAAAAACATTTCTATCGTCAAGATCATCTATCCTTAATCCTTATATGGTTATGCGTTAAGGGTATTTTTGAAGTGGTTTTCACATTATCCAAGACAGAGTCTCTCCTCGGATAAAAATGAAATAAAAATGAAAGTTTAACATTCATCATTTTGGAAAAAAAAAAATCACAAGTTACTAATGAAAAACATACTAAATATTACAAAAAATTATTAAGCTTTCGTAACTTATCTATCAGCATACGTCTGATAATTTAACACACTTCTATTTTTTTATTTTTTATTTTTTTATTTTTGGTACATTGCCAGGAGGTATCCCCATTTAATCTTCTCCGGGCACCATGCCCTCGGGGTACGGCCCGTTTGGGCTAGCCCCTCATTGTAACAGTGGATGCACTAAGACTAATCCCCCAACCGAAGATTTTTTGGCTCATCCTCTGGCCCCCAAAGATTTCCCAAGAAACTGCTTGAGGCAGGGTTTGATCCCTGCACCAAGCAATCCCTTGGGAGCTCAGCTACCAAGCTGAGCTACCAACTAAGCTACCCTTAGGGGTTACACACTTCTATTTTTAATGTATAGCAAATATAGTTTCAAGAGAAAGGTTATACTTATAACTTATTTTTGTTTATAATCTCTTACAGATTTTTGCTAATCAACGATTATTATTTATTGCAAATTAATAATTAATTAATGAGTTTAATTTGTGAAAATAATAACTGTTGATTGACGGAATAAACGGTTAGGATATGATTGTAAAAAGTTATAAATAAAAATGGGTTGTAAGTATAACTTTCTTCTAGTTTCAAATATTTGTTGTTATTAATTTGTTAAACTGAAGCTAGATTAAATAATTTCACATATTTTAAAAGATTTAAGTGAGTTACTTGCAAAATCAAAACAAAATTGTCAAAACTGATGTTTTTTTATTTATTTTTTTGGTGAGGAAAACTGAAGTTAAAAGATTGAAATTTTGAGACTAAATGTCATCAAATAATCAAAGTTAAAGTGGACAACTTACACCTTACCAAAAAAAAAGGAAAAAAAAAGTGGACAACTCACAATAAGTACTTCACATTATCAATGTTTTTAAAATCGGTCAAGTCATTGACCCGGTCGAGGTACTGAGTCAGTGGGTCATTCGTGCATGATTGAATATAAAAAATATCTAAAAAAATGATAAATATTTTAATAAAAAAGAATCACATATTATTATCCAATAAAAGATCAAATAAAAATATAATGATCGTGATCCAGGGCTTCAGGTTGAGAAAATGACATCCCTAACAATAAATCAAATCAATTTTTTTTGCATAGTACATAATTCAGATAATATTAGTGTTGTAGATACATAACTTATGTAAGTCAATAAGCACAAAATTATTTAAATATGTCTATTATGATTTTATTTTATTTTAATATACAAATTTGAATTTTTTTTAGGACTGGGCCGGGTCATCGGTTTTCATGAAAATCAACCGGGTCGCATCGATTCTGATGCATGGCCGGTCCGTTGCTACAACCGGACCGGTTATATGACCGGTTTACCGGTTTTCGGGTCGATCTGATTTTATTAACACTGCACATGATGAATAAATTTTGCGTCAAAAAATATATGAGAAAACCTTATACAAATGAAAAAAAAGGTGGAAGTAGGATAATTTAAAATCTAATCTGTTAATTATTACAGCAATTGCAATTAACAGATATTATGAAAAAAAAAATCTACAATGCTTCGATTAATTAAGTTAAAGTGGGTTTAAAGCTGAATTAAAAAAAAACGATTTAGACTTCAAATTGCAATAACAATTTTGTGCGGATTTATATTTATAGTTCATAAGATAAGAGATAACAATTACGAAGATGAATCGAGCAATTGATCTTATAATAGCTCAAGTTGATTTTTACAATATTATAACTATAACTACATTCAAAATCAAAACAACACCTTGTCTCCTTCACAACCGTAACAATACCTTATCTCCCTACTAGAAAAACAATTATGTTTTCTATTGTATTTTGCAGTATTATTAAACCCGATCCAGGCATTGATCCGGTCGGGGTACTGAGTTACTAGTCGGATCGGTGGGTCACTGGTCGGACCGGTTGACTCGAATATATATAAATATATAAAAATATATATAAATATAAATATAGGAATTAAATTATATTCTCCATATCTAAAATGAATTAAACAAGGTTTACTAAATATGCTCAAAAATATGAAGCATAAATAAATAAAAATGCACACTATTACTATGTCAATTTAAATTGCCACTCAGAATCTCCATAAATATACTTCTCAATAAACATTGAACTCATATTTTTCAATTCAACTACATTAAAATGACGGGGAAGTAGGGGTGCTAAACGAGTGAGGGGCCTTTGGCTCGGCTCGTGAAGGCCTGAGCTTACATGTCTAAAATTGATTGTTGGACCCAGGGTTGGACTTGTATAAAAGCTCGTTTAATAAAAAGGCCTCATGCTCCAATTCAAAAGCTCGGCCTTAGAGCCTCTCAGGGTTGCCTAATATATTATTTTTTTATATTTTTTATACTACTTGTGATAGTCCTCTCTCTCTTCTCAATTCATTTCATCCCATTTTATTAATTAAATAGAATTTTTAAATAATTTTGTTTTATATTATGCTATTTGGATATACATTAAATTTATGAATATTTATGGAATTACTAGTGCTGTTGATTGTATATTTTGTTTGGATAAAATTTGTTGTATTGTTTTTTTTAAACAGACTAAACAAGGCTTTTATTTTTTGTAAATGATCCAGACCACAGGCTGATATTATATTCGTAACAGGTAACATGCTAAGGCCAGTCTGACACATTTGAACACAGGCTCGGCCTGTTAAGACCAAAGCTCGGCTCGGCTCGACTCGTTAACACTCCTACGGGGAAGGATATTGTAACAACCAACTAGTGTTACTACCAATCAATTTCACCGTTAGATCGATTATGTTGATCCAACTGTTATATTTATTTCCATTTTTGTATGGTTATATTCTTCATATTTAATACTTTATATTTATTTTTATCTTTGTATGGTTATGATTTTCCATATTTAATTCTTTCACAATAAATATGGGGAATCATAACCATACAAAGATGGAAATAAATATAACCATTGAATCAATATAATCGATCTAACAGTGAAATCGATTGGTATAACACTAGTTGGTTATTACAATATCCTATCCTTAAAATGACATATGACACATTCTCTTAATTTATTATTCAGCAAATTACTTCAATATTGGAAGCTGAAATTTGAGGTCATTGTAGAAGAGTATACTAGCAAATAAAATTATAAAAAAAAAATTAAAATGAGTTCTACATTTTTTTGACAAGATGAAACAATCTTGGTTTTTTGGCCGATTTTGTCCGAATTTTAATCGGATCAATGTATGACCGGTTCAATGCTTGACCCGAATCGATCTGATGACCGGATCCCGAGTCGAGCCGGTCGAGTCGAGCCAGGTTTTACAACATTAGTATTTTGTAAGCAATGCATTAATTCTTGTATTTTTTTATAAAAAAGAATTGTCCTTGTCAAAATCCAATAATCAATGTTCTCTTTATCATTCCCATTTCAGAAATGCAAGTTAAAAGGGAAAAGGCCAATGTCATTGCAGATTACAACGA